TTATTCAGAAGGCTACTTAACAAGGAAGGGAGGAAATCACATGAATATCAAAAACTGAGAATATCCATTTTCCAATATTTGAAAAGAAAATAAGAAGAGCTTTTGAAATTACATTGTGTTGGCAAACTCTGATTTTTGGGTAACAAAGCAAAAGGTGAAGGCAAATTTTCCAATGTATTGTAAAATTTATTGTATAAGTATTGCAGCTTTTAGAATGACATATAATTGCCACTATCGGTTACTGTTACACAATAAGCGTTTACAACAGATTTTTGTAAATTGGCATCAGAGTACATATTCATACTAAAACAGCAAAATATAGATAAGTACTGCATTGCATGTGCTGTCAATAGTTTACATAAGTTTAAACTTGAACAGAACTCAGGATACAGGACTGCCTATAACAAACTCCAAAGCCAAAGCAATGCAACTGGAAGTTTAAGAAAATATTAATACAATGAAATGTGGCTATAAGGCAGGCAAATTAGGACTTTAATGTTGTCCCTCATGAGCTTCTATAGTACAGCAAAAATCTGAAGCGCAGTTTCTGGAAAACTTCTTTTTCTTTTTTGTAGCTTTGTGTTGTACATAGAAAATCTCTGAGAGATACAGAGACAGAAGAGATTAAAAATTCATTCTGTTCTCACCTAGCACTGTTAATGCTACACATCTGGATTCAGTCTTTTCCCGATCCTTAGTAAAAATGTTGGGCTTTTATTTATTTTTTAATATAGCAGTTAGTGCAATTTTATAGTTCAATACACATACAAAAGGGTGATTCTCCAGAAAGCAATTGGATTTCCTTATACCCCCACTTAAGATAGAATTAATTTCGTAACATTAATGGAAACAATGCACTAGATTAGTAAAGCTGAATCTTCAAATCGGTGAAATCGAGGGTTGTGAAGGGAACACAAGTTTTACCAGTGTCAGCCCCAAATGAAACCCATCCTTCCTCACCATCCTGATTGACAAAGCCACGTTCCCATTACAGGCCATTAAGATTTGGGGGCACTTTAAGGATGCTGTTTGCCGTACTGTAAGCTAAGAAACTGTAAGATTAACAACCCCTTTTAAAGCTAACGTGACTCTTAAAACTTCGAGCAAAAAGGCAGGCTAGGACAAGAGGTTGCTAAGCATTAGCAATGCCTTGTTTCTTCTGTATTTGTTTAAAAATAAATCATTCTTAAGGGGCCTGAATCTCTCTGCTGGCAGCTGCAAGATGCTAGAGACTCCTACGGAGCAGGACCGCGGTCCAGCTTCTAGCACAGTTCTCTCCTGAGCTGCGTGAAGGCCAGAAGGAAACGAGTAGAGACATCAGCAAGGGTGTGCAAAGCAAATTCTCTGCCTTGGTGGCAATACGGGACATGGGAATTGGGAAGAAATGGACCCCGAGGCAAAAAGTAACATTAAATAGTAATAATAATAACAACAACAATAACAATAACAATAATAATAATAATAAAAAAGAACAGACCATTATTTCTAAACACCCATTCAGAACTTGGAGTTGATCTGGGCCCCAGATCTGGTATCTGCACTTGAAATACACAGGTCTCGGGACTGCAAAGCAGAGGGATGGACAGAAGAAAGACAAAAGATGACAACTTGGCTCCGTCGAGATGGACTCGAGTTGCACCCGCTGCCTGGGACCCGGGGCTCCCCCCCACTGGGGCTGCAGCCGCTCCCCAAGGACCTGCACCGGCAGTGGGAAAGATGGCAGCTTGGTTTTTGTTTGTGCATGGCATGAACTGAAAGGCATCAGTTGCAATAGAGATTTGGTGTTGATGAGCCACCCTGTTTCACAATCATTAAATTCCCCAAACTAGAGAAAGAGGTAAATGAAACTGGACCCAGGAACTCAACAAACTGATCACTCAACTGCAGATGCTTGGGGTGGTGCTTGAGAAATAAAAGCTCACACTAGGAGCGGATTGGGGAGAAAGGAAAAAAAATAGGGAGAACCGGTTGAAATTTTGAGGACTTCAAAGCATGAGAGCTGGGTTTAATTGCACAGCATTTTTAGACCCTCTCCCACTATCCCTCCACGCCTTTCCAGACCCTACCCACCTCCCTGACCTCTCTATGGGGTTTGGTGGCCAGGCGATGCCACGTGACAAGACAATCCCATTACTTAACAACCTCCAGTCCCCACGACACCTCCTTATTCACTGCTCAGTTTTAAATGCGTGATACGTATTCCACCCAAACCCTGCTGAGGTAACCAGGTTTTTTGTAGCAAACAAACTAGTTCAGATTACAGAACACTCCCCCCACACACCCCAAACAACCCCAACCCCACTAATTCACGCATTTTGGCTCAAGAGGGCAGTAGATATTATATTTCTGTTTCTCTTTTGGTTGGTATCTCATTTACAATATCCACCAGTTTCCCACTTCCCCGGGTAGGATAATGTGCATAAATGCGTTCAAGCTCCCTTACAAACAGCGGGAGAAGAGCAGCGGCAGAGGGAGCAGCCTGCGTGGCCAGGCACAGGGGGCTGCTCCAGGGAGCAGGCAGCGCTGCCGGGAAAGAAGGGACTGGAAAATTGAATGCAAGGCCCAAAGGAGCAAGAGACCAGACGCTGGTTACTTGTGACGCTAACGATGATTTTGTTTTCCCCTCTCTAAAAAGGGAGGGTTACTGTTTGTTTAATAAGGCACTAAATAGACATGTTACATAAAGGAAAGATACATCTTAAAAACTCGTATAAATTCATCAGTTTTGTACCTTTCATGACAAACTAGATTTACTCCTTTGCATGACTTTTTTTTTGTGGCTTTTTTTTTTTTTTTTAAGGTCATCAAAATTTAGGTTACACGACTGTAAAGCTATGAAGATTTCAAGAGCTGTGGAAAAGCAGTTTGAGATATTGAGAAGGTACAGGACTAGTTCTAGGCAAAAATAAAAAAAAGCAAAAAATAACGATCAAACTTCAAGTTCAGCTATTCATCGTCTTCTTTAAAATATATATAAATATTGTTCAAATGGTCAGAACTTCAAAACCGTTCTCATGGTTTGTGGTTTTTTTTTTTCAAGTAATAGAAAAGTTGCTTAAAAACAATAGTTATTGCCTTTATATCTTTCATTTATGTCACTCTACTAGATAGCATCCTGCAGAAAATGAAATCACACCTCCTTGTAAATCTTCGCTCTCTGTGGTTCCCCTACCGACCCTTCCTCACGCTCGGAGAGATGCTCTCCTGGCCGGGGAGACGGGACCGAGAACAGGTTTTTTTTCCCTTTTGCTTTGTCTCTAGCGCTCTCAGGTTTCTCACTCGCTCATTCCGTCACATACAAATTCACCACGAGGGTAAAACACCTACCAGACACCTACGCAATATAAAAATGTAAACAATAGCATAGTAAGACAAAATGCTTCTGAAACCAAGATAAATTAAAGACGCACAACACCCGGCGGGTGGGAGGGCAGGTGGGACCGTGCTGCTGTGGATGAGGGTATCTTCAGAAGAGGTAAAGGGGGTTTGCTTCTAAAGCATTAAGCATATTTCTGTAGCCTTTAATTAATACATCACAGGAGCAGATTCATTTCCATCTACTGTATCTGACGCCTCTTTAGCTAGGATAATAAAGTAAAAAATAGTAGTGACAAGAGGCAGCCTGGGGGACGACGGCGCTGCGAGCCACAGCTGTGCCCGTTTATCCCAAATAGAGGTTTGGGACGTTAATACAAAATGAAAATGACTTTCACCACCACCACGCTTTTCAGCTCATACTTCCAATGAGACATCTAAACCCCAGCTGAAAGGCAGCCAGTGGGTACGTTACCATGTACTCACATTAACTTCCATAATCACCGCTTTAGCTCCAAATAGGGCCCTTCAGTTGAACATCGAAAGAAATAAACCAAAAACCACTTTGTTCCTTCAGACACAGAAGTTTATTCTCATCCCCACCACCCCCCTCCAAAAAGTTAGAGGTTGTCCAAAAAAAAAAAAAAAAAAAAAAAAAAATCAAGTAATTTTTGTCTGCTTCAGTCATTACTGACTCTCAGAAGCAGGGAGTTTTTATTTTACCTTTTTACTCCAATAATCCTACCGGATGACATACAGACACACACCAACTCCTCTTGCTTTGTAGGGAATGTATAAAGCCGTGACTGTCAGCGGCCACGCACAGGGACTCTGGAAATTAGGGATTTGCATAAGATGCAGTCTCGCTCACCGCTCCTCCCAGGGCTGGCATCACCACTTCAGCGTTTTTCCACCCCCTTCCAGCTACTTTGTTCTTCACTTCGACATATATCCCTTAACAGGTTCATGGTAGACATGATAGAGGCTTTGACCAACACAAGCACTGACATATTTATATTAAAAAATAGTGCAAAATTTCAACATTTATATAAATAACTCTAAACCCCTGCTTTTGATTTTTTTTTGTTTTTTGTTTTTTTACAATGTAATACACGCTTTTTGAGTTGGCACTCAAAAAATTGCCTTTTTCTTCTAGTTCAGAAAACAACTTTTTTTTTTTTTGAATAGGCCTCTTCTAATACAAAAATACTCCTGCTCCTTACACATACACTTTCTCTTATTTTTAATATATATTTATATATTTATATTGCAGATCTTTAAACAAAATGTTTTTTGTGCAAATATTTTGTCTTTAAAGATAAGTGAAATAATCAAACAAAAAAAAAAGCATTCACACACAGCTCAACTAGAAACAAAAAAAAAAGGACTACAGTTGATTTTTTTTTTTTTCCTTTTTAAACGTCTAGACAAAGCTCAATAAAGAAATGTTTTTGCAAGCTTGGTAGGCTTGTGCATTCAGACCAGACATAACAAGTAAATATTTATACATGGAGAGATGGGGAAGGGCTTTTTTTTTTTTCTTTGCTCATCTTCCTCAACTCTCTCTCTCTCTCTCCTTTTTCTTTTAACGAGAAGTGCAGAGTGTTTCATTTACTTTCTTGCTTTTTTCTTTTTTTTCCTTTTCTCCTTTTTGGGGTCCCCTTTTTTTTTTTTTTTTTTTTTTTTTAAAAGGGGTGCCCTTTTTGTTTCTCTTTCTCTTTGTTCCACGCGGTTGTGCTCTCAAGGCCATTGATTTGTGAATGATGGAGTCTGCTGCCCTCCAAGATGGAGGGCATCCCATTGTTGTTCTGCTGGTGCTGGTAAAACGTCGACCCGGGGTAGTGCCCTATCACCTCGCTGTACGTCGGCGGCGGTCCCTCCATCCTACCATTGCTCCCATAGCAGGTCGCGCTGATGCCAGAGTTACTGCTGGGGGGGCACGGCCCCCCGTACACGGAGTTATCTATCAAGTCACTGTCGAAGATGGTTCTGTTGGGGGGGGCCCGGACCGACTCTCTGTTGAGCTCCATTTGCTGCTCGGGGTCTCGCAGCTGCAGCGTGCAGGGTCCCTGGTACGGGGGGGGCTCCTCGCCGTCTGACAGCGAGATGGTGGGCGGCAGGTCGATCTCGTGCTGCATGTAGGGGTAGGTTGGCTGGAATCTGTTAAAGCGGTCCCTCTGCAGAAAGGATGGCACTGCCAGGCGGTCGCTGGGTCTCGGGGTGTAGATTTGCTGCTGAAAGGGAGAAAAAGAGAGAAAGAGGGCGAAAAGCGTGAGACGCTGCATCCTGGGAGAGCGGGAAAGGCAGCGGCACCCGCACCCGCGTCGCCCTCACCTCTGTTATTCCATTCCCCGACACGGTGCTTTCCGAAGGCCACAGGCTTCCCTCCTGCATTGGAAAGGACAAGAGAGTGCAGAGTGAGTCTGACTGCCAGCAGTGGTTAAGCTCCTTCTGCGAATGGCTCGTGCCAGGTTTCACCCTGCGCCAGAGCCCAGGTAAGATGCTGCTGCTGCTGCTGCTGCCAACGCGTTCCTGCCCCGGCTGCAGCAACACACAGCACGCACCCTCTTCTAAGCAGGCAACCAGCTCTAGTAGGGGTATTAGCTGCTATCATATATGCTGGGTATCACATGGGTAATGCTAAGGCTATTAGCATATTACCACTGAAAACAACACTTCTGATTAAAATTTCCCTCCATTTTCACCTCCATTTACATTTAATAGATCACTTGCAGAATGAATGATGAGAATGACACCAGCAAACAACGCTCTCCCATTTACAGACTTCCCCCTTCCCGCCCACACCCACCCAGCGTGTTTCTGTCCCTGGTTCAAACATGCCAGAGGAGTATTTTTCAATTTGTGATCCATGAGCCGCGGGTGATTCACAAGACATCAGAAAATGCTCCATGAAATAATGACAAGATTTAAAAAAAACCCACAAACCAAAAAAACCCCCTCACACCCACATTCTGATGCACACAATCAAGGAAATCATGGGAAAATAAAGATAATAAGTGAATAACCAAATGTTAAGCCTAATTTTGATTTGGCTAAAAAAAAAAAAGAAATCTGTAGCAACAGGATGGTTCTAGAGTATTTTTGCCCCAAAAGGCTAAGTGGTCCTTGGCTTAAGCAGACTGAGGAACTGTGGTCTGGAGGCTTCCTTATACTGCAAGCATCACCCTGGTCCTGCAATGTGAACCCAGGTGCCCACAACCCCAGGCATGATAAAGCCACAAGCCAGTTTCCCCCAAACCATGAGATCAGTTTACAATTCATGATCAAAACAAACAAACAAAGGTTATTCCCATTTGCTGGTGATACCCTGAGCATAAACAGTTCACCCTAGACACTTTTGCCTTACGAACTAAAATATTTAAATATTGTTAATATTCACATATAGCAACTCTGGCAGGCAGGGCTGGAGGAAACCAAGCCAGAGGCTCATAATTACAACCTGGAATAGCTGGCACTTCTCAGCTCCTTGCAGGTGAATCTCCAGTTCTGGCACTAGCAAGTCAGGCACAGGCAGAAGTATTTACCGCCAGTGGAAGAAAATGCCAAAGGTGTTTCTTTTTCCCCTTTTTCCCTTTAAGGTGTCCCATCCAAAGGCCATTCTCGTGCCCAAACTATGCAGCAGGGCTCTCCAGACGAGCAAACCACAAGCTTTCCTACTATGAAAATACCTATTTCTATAATAACCGTGGTGGCGGTCCGGGCAGACTGGTGCCCCGGTGAAAGCCTGTAAAAAGCTGCAACGGTACCGCAGCACCACGGACACCTTTGCTGATAAAGTCAGAAGGGATTTTGCCTGTCCGATGCTCCTTGGACCTTGCCCAGCTGTGAAGCACATCTGGCCTCATACCAGGCTGCAGCATGCAAGGGAAAATGTTGCTGCATACCTTTGCAGCTGTCCCAGTAAGCAGCATCTCCACTCCTCCCAGAAGCGCCTCCGAGAGCAGACAGACCAGGGGTGCCCCTATGGGCAGAGCCAGCCCCAAGCCCTGCGGCAGGACCCTCGGCACCCAGGCATCCCGCAACATGCATCCGACTGCCCGAAACGCAGCACCAGCACCGCATTAAAAATCTCCGAAGAAGCCACCCAGTATATCCCCCCCCCCTCCTCCTTCCCCCTGCCTCCCTTCTTATTTTCCCCAACTTTGGAATATATTTTCTCTTGTGGCATCACACATGGTATCAGATATGGAGAGAATCCCATCAGGTTCCTGTTTTTGAAGCTCAGCTCTGCACATAAACCTCAGGGCGGTCCTGTCGCCAGTGCAAGGAAAACAGTGATTTGTATGGAAATGAGACAGCCCAGATTCTTCCCACTTCTCCGTGTTTTTTAGGGAGCATCTCCTTGGAGCAGAGGTTGAGTGTTGCAATACCGGCACCCTCCCCGGCTACAGCTAATGAATGCGCTGGTTGAGCTGTGTGCCGCATTGCCCTTCCCGAGCAATGCAACGCCATGTTTTATACAGACCTTGAGACTTCAATATGCAACTGTTTACACAGGCATCAACTGTTTAGTCTAGTCCATTTTACATGTATTTCTTGCCTGCAGGGATAGTCTACAGTCCAATTCCCCCAGCAGCCAAAAGACCCAAGAGGCACTGCATCTGCCAGAGATCAAATCCTCGCCTCTAACCCCCCGCTCAGCCACGGCGCTGACACCAAAGGGCACAGGGGGGGTTTCCAGTGCTGCCACATGCGCTGCCAGCCCTTCACCTCATCCCGAAGGACGCCAAAGCAGGGGGCAGGAGCGGGAAGCACTCCGAAAACTGTGTTTACTTTGCCGTGCCCCCGTGGCAGACTTCCTGAGCAGTGAGTACCCCGCTGCCTTCTGCTAGATGTTTTATATTTAACTTGGCAGTGGGCAGTGCCATGGCAATATCCCATCTGCTTCCCCCCTTTCCCGGGAGTGATGTCAGCCGGCTCCTGCGAGGGCGGCTGTAGCCCGGCGCTTCCCGGCGTGCAGAGCATCGCCGCGCTCAGCTGGGGCTTCCCGCTGCGGCAGGCGATGGGGAGGGCACGTACACACCCTTACGTGAGCTGCTTCACCCAAAACGTACCCTACCCCAAGTACTCACTCACCCAAAGCCTCCACCCAATATCCCACCCAGGCGTTTAGAAGAAAAGCTCTGGCTCACACATTAACACATCTATTTGTACAGATGAGGTCCAGGAACGATGCTCTGGGCAACACACGGATGCAAGAGTAGCAAAGCAGTAGAAACACCATTAAAATGGGATCTGCAGAGAGATAAGGAGCAGACAGGAGACCCATTTGCTGGAGGAGCTGGATCTCTGCAGCTGTTATTAACCAATTCTCCCGGGACTCCAGGGCTTGACCTGGACACGCTTACATGCCCACAGCTGACCGACCACAAGCACGCTCACCGCCACCGACCCTGTGTCTCACACACTACTGTGAAGCCCATCTGGGTAACGGCTCATCTCTCCTAAAAACTCAGTAGTGGGATTAAAATTGCTGGAAATCAGTAGTCAGAGGAGGACAAAGCCTCAGAGACAGAAAACATACATACTTTTAGCCTTCGCACTTTGGCCATGGGATGGCTACACAGCCCCACTGAGCCAAGCAAAACTGCGCTGTCCCGTGAGGGAGCATCACCGCTGTAAATCCTCGTCCTCGGGGCTCTCCTCGCTCACCTCTGATTTTCAGAATATTTAGGACTTGAATTCATCTCAACAATGGCTGAGTCTAGAAAGCTATGGGTTTCTGAAACTAAAACTGAGATTCTGCTGTCTGTTTAGCAATATGGCTGTAAAAGCCTCCGCAAGTATTCCAGGACTCACTGCAGAACCTAAAATTACTTTTAAATTCCTTTTTAGAGATCAATCTTCAACTTTTATAGAACCGCTTGTTTTAGTAACGTCAGAGAATTTTCTCTGTAAAGCTGCATGGCACAGATTAAGTCTCTGAGCCTTCAGGAGGACTTATATTTTCCATTTTACGGGACAAAGGTATGCTTGGAGATTACATTTATACCACTTTTTCTTGGGGGAGCAGGATATCACTGTTCCAAAGGTGCATGGACAGTGCCATTCTTATTGCAAAAAAGTTTTTAGTAGCATTTCTTAAATATTCTTAGTTCTGGAAAAATAAAGGTACTTGTTGTAAGGAGACAGAGTTTAAGTTCAGCAAAAACAGTGATGGAGAAACACATGACATAATACGAGAATTCCTTGCTAGCAAGAACCGCATTAAAAAACCCTTTAGGGAAATTAATTTCTCCTTCAGTTGTAATTTCTGAGGTACAACAGCAAAAACAGGACAACTCTGGCAGACCTAGCAGCATCCTGACCACGGGATGAACTACTTTAATATTTCAAAAGATGAAAAGCGTGTGTGCAGTTCTGGTGCCTGTCTGCGGTCACGACAGCAAAATGAAGTTTGGGATTTAAAAAGCCCGACACCAGTTGAGCACAAGTTTAATGGGTTACATAAACTGGTATCCAGTTCAGCGTATCCTCTGCCTGCCAGCCTTCAGCGCTCGTTTAGACTGGAGCTGTTTTCTACGAAAAGACATGCTGTGCGGAATCCGAATGGAGCTACCGTTAAGGTCTTTATTATGATTGATCCCACTGTAACGAGCTTCCCGCTTAGCACGAGGGGCTTCTCTGTCCTGTCAGGAGGGCGCTCGGATCACAGGGAAGCTTGGCTGCCACTCCATCAACGCTGCACTCGCAGCACAGGCAGCAGCAGGGAGAAGGGGAAGAATTATAAAGAGGGGGAAAAAAAAAACCCAAATGGTACATTTGCATTTCTCTCCTTAGCTCTGAGAAAGGGTTTGAAGACTCTGCATCCTCACTGAGGTCTAGCAGAGGTACGGAGGTAAACCTTTGCTGAAAAGCCATTTAATCGCTGATGCGTCTGAAGGCTGAATAAGTAACAGGGCTGTTTTGGTGTGGGGACTGGGCCAAAAAGTGGCTGGAAATTTTGGCCTGGTGAAATTTAAAAAAGAAAAAGATTTTAAAGAAGAAAAAAAAAGAAAAAAGGGGGAAAAGGCATTATTTTTTAAACAGTCAACAATTTTTGTTTCAACCTGAAATTTTGGTTCAATCTCCATGTGTTTTTATCTTCTCTTTCCATGTTAGCCTTCTTTCCTCTTTTTAAAGAAAATAGAAAACAGGCCACTTAAGAGAACAGAAATTACTGTATTAAAATGAAAAAGGCTTGATCTGATATTTGCTTTGAAAAATGTAAAATGAAACATTTTGGTATTGTTCAAGTAAAACATTCTGGACGTGATAAAACAGTAAAAAAATCTGAAAATGGGAAAACAATCTTTCTGCTATTTTTAATAATTCATGTGCTCGGATGCCCACATTCTGCTACTGCTGGAAGCAGGTGCACAGGACAGTCAGAAGAGACATAAGATTTCTGTAACTCCGGGAGGAGCCGGGATACGTGTGGGGAGTTTAGCTCTGATCCCCAAAGCAGGCAGGTGCTTGAGCGCTCACCACCCTCGCACCGGCTGGTTTAACGTGGGATCACGCACTCCCGGCACTTTGATCTTGTTGCACAGCATCGACAAACAACCACGAGCTGAGCTCACTGCCGTGCCCTCCGGAGACACACTCCACAGCCCACAAAATGAAGGGTGGTTTAATTGAGCTTGGGATTTGCACAGCTCTCCTTCCCAAGGGGTGTCTTCCTCACTTTGGCACAGAGCATCCAGTAAGGGACCTTCGTCTGCTGTATGTAATGTGTGACAAAAAGAGCAGCTACAGAGCGGAGGGACAGCCTGCGCCTGCTGGCTGGACAGCCTTCAACAGCGCTGTACTGAAGACTTAATAGCAGACATTAGATATCTCTCTCTCTCTCTCTCAAAAAAAAAAAAAAAAGAAAAAAAGAAAAAAGAAAGCAATCCCAGTATCTGATCTTTTTCCTGCAGTGAGCATGGATTTGATACAAGAGAGCACGGCCCCACACAGACCACCACAAGGCAGCACGGGTGTGCTCAGCCTGCCCTGGAAGCCTGCAGAGAAGAGGGCGCGAAGCAGTGACCTTGAGGAAGCCCTATCGTTTAAAGAGCTTTAAGATCCTTCAGGGCGCACACTAAAAAAAAAAAAAAGTATCAGTACAAGGTATCTCTGCACTGAAGACAGAGCCACGTAGGCAGTGGTGAATAGTACATGCTCACTTTCCAAGAAAATGTGATCTCTTTTCCCTGTAGGTTCTTGTAAGTCTCTCTGAGCTGCTGCATTTGAGGAAACTGCATAAACCAACATCTGCCTCGAGGCTGGAGGGGCTCCCCCTCAAGTCACCGTCAGAGGTACAATTAACACGTTTCTCCTCAGGCTTTTATGAAGCAGGGAGCCTGGGTTACACAAGGAACCTCTCGAGCATCCCCTTGGAAAGATTTCTGCTTGTCAGGCTGACAAGTGTTTTCTGACCCCTCCACCACAGTAATGGCAGCACCACTGCTGAAAACTGGAGAAAGTCTTTTGGGATGTCCTATTCTCTTCAAGGCAGGCAGTAAGTTTTCATACAGTCATTTGAGACTCTCCAGCTGGAGCCGCCAAAGGACTCAATAGTTTGGGGCTGTTAAAGGCAAGGCATATGTACCCCAACCAGCTGAGGGTACGTGGTGGTTTCAGGAACAGGACACACCAAGAACAGCCTCGTGCAGTTACTTTACTGATGTAACATCTGAATTGCAAAGCTCAGGGCAAAGGCAGAGGCTGTGGCTGTCCATATATTACAACATACAGCACCCTAAAGAGCCAGAGGCATCCCTAAAAGGACACCACCACCCCTCCCAACCCATCAGTAACTGAGAGACAGAAGATGATGCCAAGACCCAACCTGGAGGGTGTCTCTTCACACAGTGCCAAGTGGCACGTGGGCAAACACGACCCAAACGAGTGCCTTTGGCTCTAATGTTTCCCCAATGTCACATCATTTGGGAAACAGCGCAGGACGACGTGGGTTGGAAGAGCAGGGTGTGACTTACTGATGAGAGGTTCTCGTCTCTCCGCCTCCCCTGGCTGTGCCGGCTGATGAAGGATCGCGCAGAGAGTTTGTAGTGGTTCAGCAGACATGTGATCACCACCACCATCACCATCATCACCACCACGATTATGATTATCTGTACAAACTCCAACTCCGCTGCAAGAGAGACAGACAGACTTTAAGCCACCAGAAAAAGCAGCATGTAATTGAGCACAAGAACTAAAGTTGCCGAGATGCCAGTGACACCGCTGCATCCTTCCCCCATAAAGCTCTCATGCCTACATGTGCTCTACATGCTTTGAGCTCAGCTACTTACTTAATAAAAAACTCATTAATTCACTTTCAGTGCCACAGAAGAGTCTCTAGGAGGGATCATAGAATCATAGAATCATTAAGGTTGGAAAAGACCTCTAAGATCATCGAGTCCAACCACTGACCCAACACCACCACCACTAAACCATCACAAATATCTGATAAGACAAACTGCAAAATGAAACTGTACAACAGGACCTCAGGGAGAGTGTGTGCTAACAGTGAATTTGCAGGATCCATGCTCATCTGGGAACTTAAAGAAGCCAGTTGCAAGGTACAGTCTGTTACCAAGGAACAAACAAGGATCTGCCTCCAAGAAAACTATGAGGGAGGCAAGGAGAATGACAGCACTGTAACCAACCAAGACCCAGCAAAGGTATGAGCACAACTTCAAAACCCAGCAATCTGCACATGCAGCAAAAGAACCGAGTGGTGCTTGTCCCATCACTTCCATTGCTTGCCCTGGCTTTTTGTTTCCAGCTCCTGAGCTTCCTAGGTAAGTCCCAACTGCAGAAACATATTTTTTCTGTGAAATCCCTGAGAAAATCTCACTGCATTAATTACATTAATTAGAACTGCTGCAAATAGAAAATAAACATTTCAACTTCTCTCAAAGAGTTGGGTGACCTGTTCTGGAGAACTTATCTGTGTACTCATTCTATTTCATAGAATCATAGAATCATTGAGGTTGGAAAGGACCTCTAAGATCATCGAGTCCAACCGTCAACCCAACACCACCATGCCCACTAAACCATGTCCCTAAGCGCCTCATCTACTCATCTTTTAAATACCTCCAGGGATGGGGACTCCACCACTTCCCTGGGCAGCCTGTTCCAATGTTTAACCACTCTTTCAGTAAAGAAATTTTTCCTTACATCCAATCTAAACCTCCCCTGGCACAACTTGAGGCCATTTCCTCTCGTCTTAAAGATCTTTAAAGACGATCTACAAAGCAGAGTGTTTCCAAGCTACAATGCAGACAGGGCTTCCCAAAGCCCTCCCAGCTGCAGTGTGCTGGATGCCCCCACCCCTGGGTACAAAACCAGCAGCATCTCGGTGCCTTGCGTGACTCGCTCAGGGCCATGGAGCCGCAAACCAGCATAGTTCATCCTAATGAAACAATTTAGCTAAATGCAAGCTAAATTTCTGCAGTGGTCTTCCCATCATGACCACTCCTTCCTCCAAAAAGGACCTCCTGAAGTCCTCTTCAGCACACCCTCGCAGCAGGCACACGTCCCCTCTGTCACGCGGGTCGGACAGTGGCACGGGGAGCCCGCGGCACAGCACAACAGGCACCGGTGTTGGCAACCCCCCTCTCCCCGACACCAGCTCATCTGCCACAGGGTGCAGTGGGGATACCTCCTGCTTTTCGGTGAGACGCCAGATGAACGCAATGTGGCTGCCCATGGGGGCCACGTCCCAGAGCTCCAGACACCGGTGTTGGCAACCCCCCTCTCCCCGACGCCAGCTCATCTGCCACAGGGTGCAGGTGGGGATACCTCCTGCTTTTCGGTGAGATGCCAGATGAATGCAATGTGGCTGCCCATGGGGGCCATGTCCCAGAGCTCCAGATATCCCTCAGCTCAGGGCTCGGCCAGCTGACAGTGGCAGCTTGAGTGGCTTGAACTGGCATAAAGGAAAACTGCCAAAAATCCTCCAAACAAACAAGCAAACAACAGACTATCTGGTTAACTCCAGAGACACTTGGCAGGAGGCAGTAAGAAGCCGCTCCTAAAATTTCCTAAGGAAATAATTCCTCACATCTCTCTGAGGCTAAGGAAAATTGAGTACTGGAGGCAAATGTAGCGCTGGGGTCATTATTTCCATGCATTTGGCATCCAGAGAGCAGAGGCTATCCCCGAACCACTCGGTCGCTCCCCCCAAGTCCCCTCATGCCAACAGCGCCCAGGGCTCACCATGCCCAGGACCAGGCAGCAGCAACTCCAGTGCTCATCGTAAAGGAAGGGCCAGACCAGCAAAATTCAATAGTTCTGGGGATTGAAACTTTCTTTGCTTCTCAGTAGGGACAACTATAAAATCCAGTTTTGGAAAGCTGTGCCCTACCTAAGCCATCAGGGGTGCTACCATCTGTATTTTATCTATACAGACACACACACATATATATCTGTAGATACATAGGAAGACCCACCATGCCTCGAAGGGCAGCATCACGCTGCTCATACCAGCTGGGGTGGCTTCTGCTGAGTCAGGCAAATTTAATTTTGTTTTTTGTATGGAAAGTTTTCTCCTGGCAGGTGGCATTTAAGTGCCAGTAAAAGCAAATAAATGTCAAGAAAACAGTCCAGGTGGCGAGTGCTGCCAGTTACCTCGGAGCTCATTCTGCTAAACAGCAGCTATTTCTGCCTTTGCCCAAAATGCTTAACCAGCTCTGCCCACCACCTTCAAAAAGCAGAAGTATGCCTTGAAAGCAGGAGCCTTCTGTCACTTAAAGTTAGATGTATGAGTGACTTGGAGCCCGTATACTTACAGCACCCCTAAAATGCAGCTGCCTCTACACCACAAGATTGCACGTGGGATGGGAAGAGAGGGATTAAAAGCCAAACATTGCAAAGGAGTTTTGCCTTAAAAATGCCTTTTAGCTAAAGGCATCTTCTTAAAAGAGGAGCTCTGGGTCTTTCACAGCAACCCCGGCATGGTGCCTGAATGCCACTGTGAAGGGAAGAGCCTGGAAAAAAACATATTCCCAACAATTTTTGATCCAGCCCCAAAGCAGCGGCACAGCTCACCCATGGGAATGACAGATGACTGGACCCGAGAGCTGCCACAGGTGCCCTGTGCTGGAGGAACAGGCTGCAACAGGAGCTTGTTTCTTCTAAACACAAATCAGACAAACCAGACGCACAAACACACCAAAACTGAAAGGGCTGGGAAAAGAGGATGATGCAAAACCATTAAAAAAAAGGCACAACGTCTCTTCCCATGTCATCCCCGCTTTGTAGGAGAGCGTCCCTACATAGCCCAAAGGCATGTCCTAGTGCCAGCTGCACCCAGAGGCACTGAGAGCATCCCCGCTGACCTCCAGCACCCGACCGGCAGGGTGAAGCCCCAGCACCCCAGCCAGGCACAGGATGCCCCACAGCTCCCCCGGGTGCTCTCCAGGCCGCCCACGAAGAGCCAGACCCCAGGGGGGAACTGACCCAGAGCCCTTCTGCCTCACCTACACGTGGGCAGCAGAGCCCACAGGCTGGGGAGCATCCACCCAGCTCGGGTGCAGAGCCCGCTTTTTGCAGACTTCATTACCGAAAAGAAAAAACAAAACAAAAAACAACCAAGGTTTTTAAGAAGATGAGTCAATTTAGCCTCAAAATGAAGCATGTGCTTTGGCCACGGTAAGAAAACACAAGAAAAAAATATAAATAAGGCCAGTGATGGAAAACTTCCTTTTCAGTTAAAAGAGGGTGTATTTCTGAAGAAAAACAAGACCAAAGTAGTTGTAAAGGAAAGTTCCTTTCCTAGGACGACAGGTCCCTTAAGTGAACCAAACCTTGCTAAATTGGTCACGGTACTTTGGTGACACAGGTGAAGTTTTGGCCATCAGGAAGCACTGCCCTAATTCCTTCCTAGGAAGGAACACACACAAGATACGTGTCATTTACAAACAACCTAAGCCAAGCTTCCTGGACACACGAACAGACATATAACGAGCAGAGCCTGAAGCAGAAGAAAGGGTGGGAATTCCGTCAGGATCTGGGACAACACACCAGCGTCTCATCCACCCCCATCCAGCCTTGAATGCTGTTTGTTCTGGCTCCTGTAATTGGGGTATTACAAAACTATTGCCAAGAGGTGCAATAGTAGGGCACAGCATGATTACCAGAACGAAGGGGACGCTGCTTTCCATCAGGGACGCTCCTCCTTGCCCTGTCTCTCCCTCCCACGTTCTCCTGGAGCTGGTCATCTGGACGGGCTGGACCCCCGCAGGGACCACAGGGCGAGGCCAGGAGGTGCAGGCAGTGTTCGGCCACGCATCATGCCTTGCTCTTCAAACTCTAAATTGGGTTATTTTAATGTGGAATCTAGTCTAATGTTACAGCAGTCACACTGGTGTTATCAATAGAAGAAGGATTTTAATATCTCGCTTTGTGGGAGGAGGGAGAACAATTAAGCTGCAAATTAACATTCTGTAAACGGGTTTGGTGAAACATGTCTGAACGATAAAACCTGATCAGCTCCCCGCATTCGGACTTTGGCCTTTTCATGCCAATGGCCTTGCTCTTCTCCGATCTCCTTCGTTAGCACAGGGAAGCAAACAGCTCAATCACTGCAGCAGAGCACATCTACCCTTGTCCTGCAACACAGACGAGCACTCGAACGTTTCAGTTTCATACACGAGAAATGTATCTGCCCCCATGTCTTCTTCGGTGGTGCTGCTGAAACTAACACTTCTTCCCAATGCTGCACGTGTACATGAGGAGGCCAAACCCACCAGGAACCTCTGCTCTCCACACCAGCAGGAGCTCAGGAAGAGCAGAGGGCACACAGTGCCCTCAGTTTTGCTCTACCCCAAGCCCAGCCTGCGAGGACCCGCACAGCCTCGCAGTGCCTAGGAGCAAACACATCAGGTACACCGAGACGAGCTTTAATCCCAAGAACGCTCATGTTGCCCAATCTGGCCTTTGGAAAAAATAAAATAAGAATCAAACCAAAAAAAGTCCCACACACTCAATTTGTGCTTTTCAAGTTTCAAGAGACTCATACCCACTCAAGGCACCAAAGTTTCTGCCAACTCTCCCTTTGTTTTAACTTGTCTTCATGGGCTTCGTTTGCAGAAGGGGGAAAAAACCCCAACACACTGGAAAGCTGGATATATGCAGTAAG